CGTACGTACGTCCGTCCGTACCGACGTACGTACTATATATAGTAGAGAGAGAGAGAGAGTAGTGTAGTGTGTGTGTGTGTGTGTGTGTGTGTGTGTGTGTGTGTGTGTGTGTGTGTGTGTGTGTGTGTGTGTGTGTGTGTGTGTGTGTGTGTGTGTGTGTGTGTGTAATTTTTGTTTTTGCACACATACTACGTAGACTCTAAAGGCGTGCAACTGAGTATTACTTTTTGTTTTTTTAAAATCAGGCAATTTAGCAAATAACCAAATAGAAAAGAAGTGGTTCCTTATATAACAACTTCTAGTGCATTCTGGTAACAATGCATTCTAATAATGGCTTTTATGTCATGTTGCTTAGCAACAAAAGTATATAGGTTATATTTTTATGCTAAAATGGGTTCATAATACATACACAATCAACCTAATAACCCATGCAAGGTTGGGTACTTTTGCTAGTAATGAATAATTCGCATTAAATTTCGTACTTCTTGGAGAGGTGGTGTCACATTTCTAACACTAGTGGCAAATTTGGGATTTTTTTTTAAATATTGCCTAATAAAATTGAGAATTGAAACTTAGATCATATTAAAATTTGATTTATTAACCTACCCAATGTGAAAGGATTAAGTAGTAAATTAGATGGACAGAATTAACAAACCTAGTTCTATAAGATTTAAAAATGTTTGTCTTCTTGTAAAAGATAAATATTTGGGTTAATTAGTTTTTGAACTGCATACAATACTTCAGTTACTTGGATTAAAAATATGCACTATATTTCACATATTTAATCTTGAAATGCTCTGAATATTGGCAACTCAAATTCATACTTCAGTACATCCTTAAGTATTAACTGCAGATAAGTCACGGATTCAGTTCACTAATTGAGTTTTAAATCACCTCTTTGACCAAGCAGTAACATAAATTAGTAGAAGAAAACAAGATATAAAAGTTAATGATAAAACCTACGTTTATAAAATTCTGCTTGGAAGGACACATCTGGCAAGAGCTGGTGAACCTTGTTCAGAACAGAAGCTTCTTCAGCAAGACTTGAATCAATATTCCAAATCTGTATTAGGTCATCTTTGTCTCGAACACTAATGCTGACTCCACAGATATCATCATCTAGATGTGTAGAAGTATATTCACTATATACATGTGTACAGTACAAGGCTATTTATCAATAGTTTCAAGAAAACGTAACTATTACATTCCAGTTTAAAAGCAATTTTCTACCAAAGATTTCATTGAATATGCCAACCAAAACCATACCTTTAAACAAATCATTCTACCTATTAGGGCCACAGAATTTTTGCTTCTAGATCAAATAATGTTGAATACTTTGATATGGACTACTTCCAATGAAGTATTCAGCAGCATAAATTCCAAAACAATCTCTTAAAACTAGACAGAAAGCAGTAGCAATCCATAAGAAACAAATCAACATGTCAACACAATGTCTAATCCTTCTTTAAAATAAATCAATAAAACAACAACAAATAATTAACAGGCCCAAAATTACTCATTAGGAATATGCATTTTGTTATTATTTTCCCACCAGAGATTTTGCAGACTTTGACATAGCAGACAAAATATGATTTGCTGATCTCTGGGCGACATGAGGCACTAGTGCATTAATTGTGAATATTCATCGGTGCTATAAAAAAAAGATACAGATGCATACTAAATCTTATTCAAAGCCAATAATAACTTGACTTCTACAGAGTTCGATTTGTAGAGCTACTGTTTTTACAAAAAGTATGCTGAAGGCTTTAATAGATTTTGAAAACTTTTACCTTAGTTAATTACTTAAAATTCTATCAATTGTAATTCAGGTAAGCTGTTGAACTGGTTTTCATTAGAATATTTTATTTCTTGATACTTTTACTTATTTTTTAATTTGATTTGAATAAATTGTAAGTACTGAGTGGTAAGGGTTGAATTGTAAAAGTATCAGTACAATGTTTTGCAATCATTGAGAAACAATTCTCTGAAATAAATTACAAAATAAAGTGTAAGCAACATTGTACATTTTAACAATAACACAAAATATTCTTCATGTTCTTATGCATATTGAAGAATATTAAAGGCTGTGTATCTCAAATTCACTTTTATGCATATTTCAAGTCAGAACTTGTGCCTTTCTGTAGTAGTAGTAGACAAACTGTTAGTTTTC